ACCCCATCCGCCCGTATCTGCTTTCATGTACAACTGTTGGCGCAAGCTACATTAAAGTGATTATTACGTTTTGAATATGGATATTTTTCTTACAAAAACGCATCGATTCGTTACAGGAGGACTTTGTTCACCCCCCCCATCCCCGGCTTTTTGCAGAAACACAACACAAATTAGGTGGTGTTTTTTTTTTAAACAAGTTGCCATAGAATTTGTGCAGTATTTCAGATGCAACCCAGGTGGGATTCGAACCCACAATTCCCAGCTCCAGAAGCTGATGCCTTATCCATTAGGATGCTGGGTTTCTTGATGTTTTGCTATTAATTAATTTTGGCTTTTTGCAGAAACAATGCACATTAGAAGGTGGAATTTTTTTTTAAAGGGGTCATATGATGCGATTTAAATTTTTCCTTTCGGGGCATAGAGGAGAAACAATAATGTACAGTATGTGTAAAATAATGTGTTTTTTTAATCTTAAACCTCATAAACATTTCATTACACCAAATACACAAAATAATGTTCTTTTTAGCAACATCATATGACCCCTTTAAACAAATTGCCATAGATATTGTGTAGCATTTCAAACTCAACCCAGGTGGGACTCGAACCCACAAATCCCAGCTTCAGCGGCTGATGCCTTATCCATTAGGACCACTGGGTGTCTTGTTGTTTTGGTGTTCGCTATTAATGAATTTTGCCTTTTTGCACAAACTCAATGCACATTAGAAGGAGTTTTTAATTTTTTAAAACAAATTGCCAAAGAATTTGTGTAGCATTTCAAACACAACCCAGGTGGGACTCGAACCCACAATTCCCAGCTCCGGAGGCTGATGCCTTATCCATTAGGCCACTGGGTCGGTGGTAACTCTGGTGCTCGCTGTTAATTGATTTTGACTTTTTGCAGAAACACAATGCAAATTAGAAGGTGTTTTTTTTTTAAACAAATTGCCATAATATTTGCGCAGTGTTTCAGACGCAACCCAAGTGGGACTCGAACCCCCAATTCCCAGCTTCAGAGGGTGATGTTTTATCCATTAGGCCACTGGGACTCTTGCTGGTTTGGTATTCGCTATTAATAGATTTGGGCTTTTTGCAGAAACACAATGCACATTAGAAGGTGTTTTTTTTTTTGTTTTTTTTTTTAAACAAATTGCCATTGAATTTGAGCAGTATTTCAGATGCACCCAAGTGGGACTTGAACCCACAATTTTGGTGTTCACTATTAATTAATTTAGCCTTTTTGCAGAAACCGTGCACATTAGAAGCTTTTCTTTTTAAACAAATCACCATAGATCTTGTGTAGCATTTCAGGCGCAACCCAGGTGGGACTCAAACCCACAAACCCCAGCTCTGGAGGCTGATGCCTTAACCTTTAGGCCACTGGCTTGTTACATTTGCTATAATTTGAGTTTGGCTTTTTGTAGAAATACGATGAACATTAGAAGTTTTTTCTTTTTAACAAATTACTTTAGCACTTCAAACACAACCGAGGTGGAACTCAAACCCACAATCCCCAGCTCCAAAAGTTGATGTTTTATCCATTAGGCCACTGGAACTTTGAAACACGATATTTCAGTAATCTCACCCTCAGAACGTCAGCCTAAAAGCATCTGCTAAAGGATTAAATGCCAAAAAAAAAAAAGTAAAGTTTTTAAATTCTGAGCAATTTATGGGAGGAACTTA